GTTGGTTATTGATGTGATGGCCTAGGGTGGGTCGTTACAATTCTCATTGAAAGGGTGGAAGCTCACTTAGGAGGATTAATAATTTTGCATGTTGCAATTTTTGCGAGATTTGCTCGCCTAGGTTCAAACATGGCAACCAAATTAGTTGAAAGCACTACTAATAACCTATCAATATTTCTCCATTTTTCATTATAAATCCCCATTAAAACAATCCCCAATCATGCAAATAACAATAAAATCCCCAAACTTCTCAATCCTATGAATAGTAAATAAAAATGGGGACCGGGAAATCAATGACACAAAAAAAGGATTAAAACACTGACAATGAGGCTTGAGCATGATTGAATGCATGGTTGTCTTGAGCTTTTCCTTCTCTTATTCCTCTTTTTTTTTTTCCTTCTTCTTGAGATGTGTGTCGTGTCCACGTTGCAAGATTAAAAAGAGGGTATTGAGTTCCTATTGAGCCTAAATGAGTTTTTCTTTCATCCATCCCATTTTTAGCCCAGTAATTTTCATAATCACACAATAAGACGTCATATTATGTAAAGCTCTCATGAAAACAAGATAACATGACCTTTAATTATATATATATATATATATATATATATATAAAAGGAAGGATCCGTTTATTTTAGGAGTTCCATTCAATAACTCATGCTCTACATCAAGATCCAACTGTTAAATTAAGTTGTTGAATTTAAAGTTCTTAATGCACAAATCAAATCTGCAAGTTTTTAAAAAATTTAAAAATCATTTAATACTTCATTTCATTAATTCAATTTAATGTATAAAATAAATTTATGATTATCTATCAAATTGAATTAATGAAATAAATTACAGAGTTGATCTATGCATTAAAAATTTTAAATTCAACGGTTAAATCATTAAAATTTGATATAGAAAATGAGTTATTGAACGAAGTAAGTTTAGGTAACCTTACTCCTAGAGTAAATAGATCCCTCCCCTCTCTCTCTATATATATATATATTATCACTAAGACTAATAGCCTATTTTTAGAATATTACAATAATTATATAGTTTTATTACATAAAGTGATCATAATTATCTTAATTTATTATTTAAAAAATAAAAATTTACTTTTTATTCTAAAGTTTAACTTTCTTCAAATGATATTAAACAAATAAATATTTATAAATTAACTTAATTATAGTCGTGAACAATTATTTTTATTATATTTATTAATTAATGTACATAAATACATATTTCTAAAATGAGCCGACTAAATGAGGAGTTATATTTCCTAGTTTTACAACAAATAAATAAACCCCATATAATATAATATATACAAGAATTTAAGTAAAAATAATGAAAATAAAATTGTGATAAGGATAATAATAGGTCAAAATAGTGTTAAACTTTAAATTCTAATTGAAAAAAAAAATTAATCCCTCAACTCTATTTTATTGAATACAAACTCATATCTTGCGTGAGAGTATTTTTATCGTCTCGTGCAGGGGTATTAATTATCATTTAATTTTCACTGGGAGAAATAGAAACATACATATGTAACAGGTATCTATCTATTTATACAGGTATCCATGTTCTAATCAATTTATAGTAAGTTGAATTAAGCTACGGTATACATTTTAAGGAATAGAGAAGCTGAAGCATATATTATGTTTCACTCAAGTCATATGTTAAGCTAAGGGTATGGTCCTGTAAGTAAGACCTTAATTCTGTCTCTGAGAAGCATATACGTGCATGCCACCATCAATTTGTAGAGTAAGCATGGTTTTGTATTTTACTGATCCATTTTGATCCGCCAGTTTAAAGCTGTGGCTACCTAAGAGAACTGTAGAATATATCTTCATTTGTCTGTATGCAAACTCCTTACCCAGGCAAATTCTTGGACCCCCCTGTGTCACAATATCACATTAAGTCTCAACTTCTATAGGGTTATACAACACAAATGTTATAAATGAAGGTTTAATTTCCTACCTGGAAGGCTGTGAACTTATAAGGGCTTTCTTTCTTCAAAATTCCATTTTCATCAAGCCATCTCTCTGGCCTGAATTTCTCAGCATCATCACCCCACAAGAATTTCATTCTTCCCATCACATATGGTTGGAATGAAATAAGATCACCTTTCCTAACACTAAATCCATCTGGCCACGTGTCATCTGCAAAACAAAACTTACCTTCCTAGAAAAGCATCATAAAATTGATTAGTGAACCAAACACTCATCACTCACACTGATGCATGTATTTCAATTCATGTTATTGATGTAGCTTTATTACCACTGGAACTGCTGGGTGGAGCCTTAGTGTTTCATTCAATGCTGCATGTAGGTACTGCATCTTTTCCATGTTCTCTTCAGTTACACTAGCTGCAAGTTCGTCAATTGTTGATCCAGCTGCTACATTTGTTGCCTCTCTAATTTCTTGTGCAATCTTCTCTTGCACGCGAGGATGCTTGCAGAGTTGGTAAAGGAACCAGGAAAGAGTAATTGCTGTTGTGTCTTTCCCTGCAAGGATAAAACTCAAGGAAATATCTCTAAGGTACTTTGGATCAGTTTCTTTCAATTCTATAAACCTTGACAAAATGTCTCCTTTCATCACCTGTAGAACATTAACAAATTAGTATTAATATTAATATTCCTACGCAAACAAGAATGTTAACGAGTAACTTTAGTAGTTGTGCTCACAGTAGAATTATCTTGTAGCTTTTGGATCTCCTCAATCTTTTTCCTGATTAGATTATACACGAATTCATCAATCACTCTTAAACCGTTCCTAAGTACTGCTTCCGATCCGATGTTCAAGAACCGCATGATCTTCCAGAGAAAGTTAAAATAGCGATACATGATAGCAGCACTTACTTCATCAAAAGCATTGGAGAACTCTGTGCCTTCTTTATAGGTTCCACACATAGTGTCCAGTTCTACACCAAGGATAACCTTACATACAGAATCCAGAGTTGATTTCATGAACAAATCCTGCCAATAAAAAAGAAGCAGATGAGACCAAGATTTGTGATATTGAAGGAACATAAGAGTTTTGTCAATAAATAACATCTTACCTGCATCTCAATAACATTGTTTGAGATTGCAGCATCAGACACTACTCCTGCAAGTTTTACTGCATTGGATTTGAACGCTGAACTGCTGAAGTCTCTCAACATTTTGGTTGAGAATTGATAGCTTGATGTCTTTCTATGATGTCGCCACTTCTCTCCATCCACTGTGAATATACTATCTCCTAGAAAATCTGACATAACACTATAGTGATACCAACCCTGCCACAGATGAAGACGTTTTGAGCCTAAATGACATGCAACATGCTACCACATATGGCGGGGTTCCGGACATACCTTAAATCCAGTTTCTTAGATGTTTCTTTTTTTGGTATCTCTTGTGATATAGAAAATGATACTTGTACCATGAAATTGTACGATTTGTACATTTTTTTTTTTATCTATCCCTTGTTTATCACTTTATTTATTACATTTTTTAATGATTAATCCTTGTAAATTCTAATATTCAAATTGAAAACATGCAAATAAATATAATTAAGGATTTTTACGTGATTTTACATAACTAGTATCTGAGGGACACCTTGCTACTCGTAGGTACCTATGTAGCTATTCAAATTCAATCATTCGGGTTTTACTAACGGATATTTGTTAACTTTTTTGCCGTCCTTAAATATGATGAATCTTTAAACATGTTTTGCAACGAACCATGAATTTCCATCACAAAGTTTGCGGTTTATGAGATAGCAATTGAAGAAAGTTGCATACATAGTTAGTTACCTTGCCGTAGTTTGGAAAGTTTGTCGCCAGGATATGCTGAATATTAGCAGGGTTTGCAGTGTAGACCTCACTTCTGATGAAGCTAAGCAACCTGTATGTTTTCCTCTGGATTGTGAGGTCGACCATGTACTCGAGGAGCCTATGAAAGTTAAAAAGTTGGTGTATAACCGTGCCTGCAACAGGGTGGTATTTTCTTTTCTTGTCAAAAAATCTATAGCCATGGATTTTGATAATAATAGCAACGAAGATAACAGCTATTACTGCTGCAAAGACAAAATCTGTGAACCTCATTTCTCTCTCCTTAACTTTTCTTTCGGAAAATGTGAACTTCAATGCTAGTGGAGGTTGAAATATGAGGTGTTTCTAAGCAAAATTATTGTAAGATATGATGTTGATGTTTAAGGACTAGGTTATCTACCAAATCAGTCATTTTTACGATTACAAAATTGTATAAAAGCACAAGTTAATTATATTTTCACCCTTGTGCCAAACGAAATATTTCCACAATTCAAAACACGTTCAGTCATTTTCACGATTACAAAGTTGTATAGAAGCAGAAGCTAATTACATTTACACGTTTTTACCAAAATAAATACTTCCACGATTCAAAATACGTTCACCTATAAGATTGGCCAGAATAACAAATATTATCTTCTTCCAATATATTCAACAACCTTAAGTATTATTGGAGGAAAAATTATATTGTCTGTAATTGTTTAATGCCTCTCATAAAAGATACAAGTAGTTTGTATTAAATTTATAAACTGAGTTTTTTATTTGAGCTGTTGTATGAAAAATCCGTAATATTAAATTCACATATGAAAAGCTACTTGCAATATTTTTTCATCATTTATTAAAATTATGATGGCTTTAGAGTTTTTTCAATGTTGAAACCAAAATAAGAAATGGTGGATTAAGTGCATGTATTAAAAATGTAATGTTTTCTCATGTAAAAATTAAAATAAATTATTTTTTATGTAAGGACTAAAATAAAAATTAAAAAAAAGTGTCAAGTAAAAGATAAAATTTAATTTGACAAACAATAGGATTAATACATCAATATTTTCCTTTGTAGAGACCAAAATGTAAATAAAATAAAAAATAAATAAATACGAGCAAAGACTTAAAATTAATCGAAGTATAAAAGACAACTTTAGATTTTACCTTTAAATATCCAGTCAGCTTGCCCTTTCTCTGGACACTTGATCTTAGGGTTCTTCTAAAAGGGTACTTAGAAGAGTCCATTTCGACTTATGAAATTAGTTTTAATTTTCTAATAAACTCTCACCTTATTTCTTAGGTTTCACGGAGAAGTTCATTAAAATAATTTCTTTAAATAAACTATTAATGATGTTCTCTAATCATTGCATTTATGGAGGATACTAGGTTCTTTGCTAGTTAATTGGAACTGGCCCTGCTGCTTATCGTAATAGTACTATCAAAAAACCAATACATTAAAATTTCTCCTGTGAAAGTCAAAAGAATATAAGAATCTAAACTTACACTTCCCAGTCCAAGAATAAAATTATAAAAAAAAAAAAAAAAAAGGGTATCAATAATCAATAACAAAATAAAACGTAAAAAGAATATCGTATCAAAAACAGATGTTAATGGGGGACACATTGAATCCATCTGAACTTGAATCCTCCGTAGCCTAACCAACATCAACGATTTCTTCATTCAAGAATAAAGTAGTCATCTCCACGTGGCCGTCATGCAGTAATGTTCACCATTGAGCATAAACACTAATGCTTTATTCACTATCAGCTTCACCATCTCTTTCCACCCCAGTTGCCACGACCTCTCCCACCACCATTGGAGAACCTATCATTTGAAAATCTACCGTTTCTTCCTCCTCCACCTCTTCCACCTGAAAACCTGTTACCTCGGCCACCACCATCACCAAATCTTCCACCTCTTGATTGCTGCTCTCTCTGTTGCAAACGTGGCAATGCTTTCAACACCTCTAAACTTACATTCGAGGCATTTTCTTGACCTGAAGAACAAATGTGATTGAGTGAAAAATATGACCAACATAAAAAGCTATACCTATTACTCTATTAGTTCAAGCCTAAAAGGTACTCATTTTTAAATGATCAAAATCCTTTTTTGTCTCTCTGTCCCTTCCATTAACATTTAAAAGGGTTTTTCTTTTTAACAAGTGCTCAGAATTCCAAGTCAACAGTAAAGTGGAATTTTACCAGAAAGATATGTATCTAAATCTTCAGCTGGTACATCAAAAACAACACCATTTCCATCGGCAGTGAGTGAAAGACCTTTCACAGCCTCAACCTTCTCTTCAGGCAAGAATCTCCTCAAGACTCCGTAGGCAAAACTGATAACAACCAATGAAAGAGCAAGTCAAACGAGTTGAAAATGTTCACAAGAATAATACTTCAAATATAGTTCTATTTTTATTCAAATAATCAGATTATCCATCACAATGACTGTATGCATAACCACACTATCAACAAACACACAAATTATAAACAAATGAAAAGTAATCCTTGCCTACGTTAATTTGAATACTTGATTTCTTAAGTTTCTAGATACTTTTTTTAAGCAAATGTTAATAACATAATTTGTAGTCAGGGATTATTGTAGGGTTCTCACGATGGGGTGAAGATTGGTCTTCCAATCTCAAGAAGTAATGTAACATAGTTCTCCATAGAAGTGAGAAGTGATCTTTGCTTTATTTCGGTATAACCCTGCATGTTCCACGACAAGACAAAAATTTCAACGTCAGAAAAATATCGAAAGATTAAGGGTTCCATATATTTAAAGGGGAAAAAATGAATAACATTGACTCACAACAGCCTTGGCCAGGGCCTTGGCAAGTAATTCAACGACTGATAAACCAGAACTGTTCAAAAGGTCTTCAGCAGCAGACTTGAATGCAGGAATCACACTGCATTTATGACACATGTTAACAGCAAAAGACAGCATCAAACACAATTAGCAAATAACAAACATACCTATCAGACACTTGGATAATCATTTCAGCTGCTTCCCCACCAACAGCTTTGGCAATATCATCAGGCTGAGGGGCAGATATGTGTTCAAATTTTACACCGGATTCTCTTTCTATTTTAGATATATTCGATCTTTTTGGATCATAAAGCATAACAGCAACACCAGTATTACCTAATAAAAAACCAAATCACATTGTAACCTTAAAATAACTCCAGTATCACATTGTACACCAATGGCAAAACCCTGTAAAGATACCTGCTCTTCCTGTGCGCCCAGAACGATGGATATAGGCTTCTACATCACGTGGGGGTTCACACTAAATCAAAATACAAATATCAGCATTTCAGGTTGTGACAAAAATAAGAATGATTTGATACATTTGTATGAGTATGCATCAAAAGTACCTGGATAATTAACTGAACATCATTAATATCAAGACCACGAGCTGCCACATTTGTGGCAACTAATGTCATGAATTTCCCAGACCTAAAGCCAGACAGAGTAACCTGCAGGGGACAGGACATGATTAAGAGACGATCAAAAACCACGAGAGGCACACAGACCCCACACTAATTAAAATTTGTGAAGAAAGAAAATATATCAATCGATAAGGATACCAGAGTTTAAAGTAACAGATCATAAGTCGATATGTATACCAAAATTCAGATAATAGCTCACCTCACGTTGTGCTTGCTGTATATCACCATGGAGAGCTCTAGCTCCAGGCAACGTCCCTGCAAGCTGAGAAGCAGACTCCTTTGTCTCGGTAAATATAATTGTCCGGCCCCCACTGAAGCAAAACCATTAATCAACTATGAACATTAAAATTCAATATAGAGAAACAGATATCATAAGTGAAAAATTAAATAACAAAATTCACCTGCTATAACAGCGAATAATGTCCGGGATAAGTTGGGACCTGGCAGAACCAGTGCAAGGAAGAACAATATGCCTAACATTGGTACTAGCCTTCATTTTTGTATTTCCAACCAGATCAGCAGTTTTCTTATCTGGCTTCAGAAATTTTGCGGCAATCTGGCATAAATAAACATCGAACAACATTAAAAGACCCTAAACATAACATCCAATATTCATAAAGGAGAAATCATCACATAGAAGCATACATGCTTAACCCAGTCCGGTAAAGTAGCACTGAAAAGAAGTGTCTGAACTTTATTAACATTTTCTACCTTACCTGAAAAAGAATCAAATAAGAGAACAATGTGATACAGGAAAATCCTATCATCCAACGTACTGGATGATTATGAAATCTAAGGTAATCCTAATTGCAAAGCATCATGCACTAGAACACATGAAGAAACATTTGAAAGTTGAAACAATATAAGGGTTTGAAAAATAGTCTTGTTGAAGCTGAACTGCAAACTAGTTCATTTTTTTTTTCCATTTATTAGAATAAAAAAGACTTGCAGAAAAGAAAAATGACCTACCTACTACCACTGATAAAAAGTCAATGCTATAATACTAAGAAAGCAAAGTCAAGGCTATAGGGTGAATAAATACATTGAGCATGAATACAATAGCAGCATGGGATGTGCTAAGGAAGCATAAAGAACATTGTCTTCACTTTAACTCGTGAGTTAAAAAAAGTGAACCCTACAATGAAGGTTTATTATCACACAAAGATGACAAATTTCCAAACTATTCTTGCAACCACTATAATAAGAATTAACTATACAATATCAATAATTTAGAAGATAAGGTATAAGTAGTATCAGTATCACAAATTCACAATGATCTTAACATGATTGACACTTGCCAATACCATATGGTCCATGCATTGAAAAAAAAATACCTAGAATCAGTTCCACATCTTCAACAAAACCCATCCTCAGCATTTCATCTGCTTCATCAAGGACACGAAATTTTAATTGGCTCAGGTCAATATTTCCCCTCTCTATATGATCCTGCACAACAAATGGAAGATGGACAAGACAATGTTGTCAAACTTTGTCTTAGATATACAACGTAAAGCTTTCAGGTAATCTACTCTTGCAAATATGTAAGTTGATGTCAATGCTATCAAAAACTGTTATGCCACATTATAACAGAATAACATTGCAGTTAAAATTCACCATCCATTGCACTTGATTGCCATTCACCATCCATTTTAACACCTTACGGCAGCGACCATCTTGGCTATGGCACTGCCGCAGCTTATGGCAGTTATGGCGTAATTTTATTTTATTTTTCATTTTTAGAAAACCCATTTAAAAGTCTTTTCAGACAGCCCCCAAATATCACTTACACTTTTCTCTCATCTCTTGACTCTAATTAACATTTGCAAAGAAACCTAGGGTTTCTCTTCTTTCTCTATTAACCTCCATACTTGTGCCCAATCAAGTCCAATGACCCCTCTCCGGCCACCCTCCTTGCTGACAGCCTGAAGTCTGGCAAACAATGCCAACGAGATAGAACAGTTTTTTTTTTTTGCATTTTTTATTCTTTCCTTTTTTTTTTCTACCTGTACTACTTTCTTCAGATGTTCCTCGCCTTTTTTGTTTCTTTTTTATTTGTTTTGTCTCTTATTCTCTATATGACATTGACCACTATAGTTCTTCTCTTCAATGTTTAGTTTTCTGTTTTTATAATTTCAAAATGGTGCTCGTTGTTCTTTGGTTCTCTGTTTCATTATTAAACATATAATGCTATTGCCAATTCCTTTTTCACTTATAGGACAATATCAAGCACCCAAAACCAAAGTCATGCTTCCTTAGACATAGGATGAAAACATTCAATTTATTGTTATATTTATGATTTTGTGATGATATTAAGAGACTCTGATGAATAATGACGTTGTTCCTTTGAGATTTTAGTGTATGATTCTGCTGCTTTTAATATATTCATGATGTTTCTAAATTATTTTTACAATTTTTTTACTTTTTGTTCACGTGTATATATTCTTTTTGTCTGGCCACGCCATCTGCCATAATTTTATATAAAGTAGGCCGTTTTCCTTTAGTGATAACCTTGGTTCATCTAAAGTAGCTACATATAATCAACTAGTATTTGTGCAATTACCTTCACGCGACCAGGTGTGCCAATTACAATATCAACACCTCTCTTGAGCTTAATTTCTTGAGCTTGATATGGAGCTCCGCCATATAAACAACAAGAGCTCAATCCCATCGCCCCACCATAAACATCAAAATCAGCATGCACCTAATGCATAACAGACAACACAGCTCATTAAAAAGAATAACACATTGACCCTGAAATCAAAAGCACCAATACTCATGCATACAAATATACCTGACAAGCCAATTCCCTAGTAGGTAGAAGCACAAGAACGCTTGGTGTCCTCCCGTAGCCAGTCTTTCTGGATGCTTTTGCCGGACCATTTGTTAAAGACTCCAATATGGGCAACACAAATGCCAGAGTTTTACCCTACATTTTCCCGAAAGGAGACAGTTGAGATCAAATAAAAGCAGAAAAGCATTCACACCACTCAAGCACATTACCCTAATTAATTGAAGAAATGAAGAAAGAATGATAAGGGTTTGTGATAAGACCTGACCGGTGCGAGCCCGACCAACCAAATCAGAACCGTCAAGAACGGTGTCGAAGGTCATGGCCTGAATGGGAAAGAGCGATTCGATACCCTTGTCCTTCAACTTGGCCCTCAAGGGGTCGGAAATTCTGAAGTTGGAAACGGCGTTGGGGTCCTCCGGTTGCATGGGTGGAGGGTCTTCGGGCTTGGGCTTTTTCTTCTTTTTCTTCTTCTTGTGATCCTCTCTGGAAGCTTCGGGCTCGACCAGCTCGGAACCAGTCTCGTCGTCCCCATCGTTGGTCGCCATGGGCATGGCCTCTATATCTGAAGCCTTGCGCTTCTTCGTCTTCTTCGGCTTCCCCGAAACCCCATCGCTGCCGGGATCGGGGGGGTTGTGTTTGGAGGCTTTCTTGGCAATAATGGGATCGGTTAGGGATTGGTTGTTGGTTTTCTCGGAGGAGCGGTTCTTATTGTCAGTATGAATTAGAGAAAGAGAAGGCATGGTGATGGCGGCGAGGGGAGTAAAAGGGGAAGAGAAAGAGAGAGAGATTCGCTCCTGCTTCACAGGGAGAGTGGCAGTGAGGTGCAGAAGCGGGAGCACAAAGCGCCGACGACCTTTTCGCTTTTATGGTTTTGGCGGTGGAAACATTCTTCTTCTTATACACCTTCCAACTTCCAACTTACACCTTCATAACCTAATTCTTTTTTCGGCTTTATCTCCAAAAAACAAATAATTATAAAAATCAAAAACTCATAAATTTTATTAATTAATTAAAATGTAAATTAAATTAAATTATTTATTAGATATATTATTTTCATTAGTAAATGAAAGTCTTTATTAATATGAGATATTTTGAATGATAATTAAAAATAAATTTATAAGAATTTAAATTCAAATTAAACAATATCATTTCAATGTGCATGTAAAATCCTAGTGTCCAAAATATACATGCCCAACGCATCTTATGTTATATTCTTTTTCTTCTTTTATTTTTATCATATTATTTATTTATCTTGTTTCATCTATCTTTAGTCCAAAAAGTTTTTGCATATAACAATAATTAAGCATGAGAATTTTCTTTAAACAAATAATATCCACAACATGTAAACATATAATGTCTAATTACTATGTTAATTTATGATGTCATTTTAAAAAAAATATGAATAAGATATCAAATTTAATGTTTAAAACTAACATAATATGGTATAATTAATAAATAATTTAATTCCTTAAACTTGTGAAAAAAGATTCAACCCTCGTATTTGTGTATCAAAAACAATCTATTTGAACATATTCACTCCTCAAATTTTAGTATATTGAGGAATTAGTCAATGACTTACTTTGGGATACCCTTGAAAAACTATTTTTACTGATTTTACCACCCCTAGTATTAAATTCACTAACTAATATTGAAAGTGAATGTTGCAAGTGTTAAGGACTTTTTTGGGGGTACAACAGTACCAACGACCTTAACAGTTTACTTAACAATTCATGTCTTTGTAAAACAAAATTATAAGGTGTATTATACATATTAATTGTTATTCTATTAGAAATTTAAATAATTATCTTAATCGTTTAAGTAAATACTTCATCTTTAAACAAATATGATAAGAATTTAAAAATATAATTACCTATATATATTATTTTTAAATAAAATCATATAAATCATATAAGCACGTCACTTTACATTTTTTATATTTATAAATTAGATCGACAGCAAATTTTATCCCATATTAGTTAAAATAGTTTATTAAATTTCCATTAACTTTTTTATTTGGTATAAAGTGTCACTTACTGCTTTTCATCCAAAGTGTCACTAACTTTTTAATTTTCATTAATTATTAAAAAATAAATTTTCGTAATTACCGACCAATTCTCTGAATAATGATTCAGTTCAAATCGTTATGTTTCTTTTTATTTTATTTTTTTACTTATAAAACATTAAGACAGACAAAGTGCACCAGATATATATGCAAGACTGCAATAACACCGTTAACAGTGTTACTCAACAAGAACTCAGAGAGGACGAAAATGATAGGCTTCAATGTTTCATTACTTGCTCTTGCCATGGATGGAACTACTTCTATGCCTCGATTAATTACAGATTTAAGTTACACATTTTTTTCTTGTCTATCGAAAATTAAAAAAATAATAATAATAAACGTGAATTTCTTATTTTAAAAAAAAGAACTCAATGTCAAGTTTAAAACTGATTAAGATTAATATTGCCGGTTTGAGGGACACCAAACTGGTTGATAGCCAAAAATCCGCAAGGAAAATAGTCTATAAATTATAATATGCTCAAAGTTTGAAACTGGAGCTTCTGTTCTCCAAAACAGACTATTGTTTAGTGACCATTGTTGGTCACATATCTTTAAAGTATAAGGGATTATTTAATGCTAAAATTGCTCAATACATTTGTTCAGAAGAACAATGAAAAACTTATGGCGTGTTTGAAAACTCATTCAGAATTGTGAAATCACGTCTGGGATGTGGAAGTTGCAACAATTAGCTTCTGAAAAGCACAACCAAACTGGAACACACACACACACACATTCAAACACACTATTATTCTTTTCAAATTATAATTCATACCAAATTTACTTCCTCTGGTGAAACATAAAGTGTTCAGGAGATACCAGGGTGTTCAATTTGCAACACCACCCTCCAACCCCCCTTCGTTTTATACGGCCCTCCTTGTTCTAACATAAAACACATCATAAACCGGAAAAAATTTAAAAAACAAAGCCAAGTAATAAACTGACTTTGGACAAGGGTTTTACTATTTCTATTACACATCCAGTGTCTCTACTTCTGCACATGGTGCTAAGTTTCATGGCTACAAGGTGTAGGAAATATATAAGATGAGAAGTAAATAAACTTATAACCAAAAACTAAGAACAAATCCTAAAACCATAAATATAAGCCATTTCTGCATAGATACCTGGGACGAAGTTGAAGAAGCACTGTTGCACAAATCAAACCCATACCACGTATCTCTGGGGACATATGTATTGTAATAGAAAGTAACAGGCCTGCCATTATAACTATTGATTTTCACACTTTCAGGCTTCCAACCATCTGATCCAGATCTATATAGGTACACATAGCATATCTGATATGCACATGGACCACTTATCTGAAATGTATCTGAAGAACAGCTCTCAAATGTACCTGAAGCTGGATCATCCAGTCTTGGTGCATATATCTGGATACATGAAAGGGGTCAAATATGAATTTCCAATTATTCAAAGTGTTTAATTTTCATAAATTATCAGTATAAAAATTTTTACACTATCAACTACATAGAAATTACTCTACATACGACTTTTAAAGCAACTACTACAAAAGTCAACAATCTATGCTTAGATGACAATCTATGAAGCACCGATACTTCAATTTGCTTCACGTATCCGTATCCGATACGTATCCGTATCCGATACTCTTGGATACTTCACCGATACGTGTCAATGAAGTATCCTAGTCTTTAAAAATATTATGAAAATTTTATTGAATTCCGATACTCTTAGATACTTCACCAATACTTATTAGTGATACGTATCGATAAAGTATTCAAATTTTTGAAAAATTATAAAATATCCATTACAGCTAAATAAGATATATAAACATGTTTAATATAGAAACATAAAAATATTTGTCTTTGATGAACTGTAAATGAAAATTATCTTCTATATAGATAATTTTAAGAAAGGAACAAAATTTGTAATATTAGTTCTATTTGTAAACAATAAAAAGTAATTTATGATGAAATGATTTATAATTTATTTATTTTTAGTAATGTACAATAAGTATGTTTTTAATTTGGATTTGCAAATTAGCAATTATATATTTAATGTTTATGAATTTTGATCATAATTACATGTACACAATTATTATAATATATGAACATTGATATATATGATGACACGTATCTTACAAGTATCGTATCCTATATATTTTAAAATAATCGTATCGCCGTATCGGATACGTGTCGTATCCGATACGCGTATCGTATCGGTGCATCATAGATGACAATATAAATAACATTTTACACTGTTGGTACATTTTAATTAAATTCTTATTCAAACTAAAGCTTCCTTGGTTAACTAGATGTAGAAGCCTAATGACTAATGAGGCCCTCCTCCTTTTCAGATTCCACTATGAATCTGTTCTGCTTCTGACCAATTTACAAACATGGATTAAAAAGCAATCGATCTGTTTAGAAATGTGGTCATACTCATATCAGTATCACAAAGGAAACCCGTCATTCGGCCAAGAAAACTTGTACACTTATCTTTGCAGACAGACTCATGACATTTGACCAAAATTAAACAAGCTTCAATCCATGTTGTGTATAAACTTTGTCGGATAGAGATTCCAACTTAATCTTAGCCAATAGCTGGCCGACAAAAACGAAGTCCATGTTAGCAAAAAAATAGGTAATTTAGGATCAGAGTTAGACCGTTGGACTTTCTAAACACAAACATTGAAGCAATTCGTGCACTTTAGAGCCTGTAAGAAACTGTCATGGAAGAACTAACTTAGAAGGACCTAACAAAATATCTAGAAATGAAAGTCCAAGATTCATCTGCATAGATGCCAAAAACATCAACTGCATCGACAATTTTTTTTTTTCAAATAATAATGGAAGTTTAGCATGAAACAAACAATTATGAACTCAGACAAAATACCGAATTTCAATTGTGGGGTTTGTTCCCAAATCGTCAATAACCTATATACTTTAGAAAATTTACCCCAAAATTCAACCTTGAACATGATAAACATATTTCAATCCTTAACAATTCTGACAAGCTCTTTCACGGAAAACACAATAAATAAATAGAGAAATTGAATGAAGAGAAAGCAAAACCTGGTTGCCATAAGCATCCCCAAAAGCAATACTGACGTGATCCCTTGTATACCTAGGGGACGAACAACTAGTAGATATAGCCACCGAGTAAGAACAACTCCCCGCGTTCTTCATCTATTTAAGAAACAATTAAACTAATAAGCCCTCACCATATAAAAATAGCACTAAGGGACTCCGAACGTTTTTGAAAAAAAAGAGACAGCGAGAGAAACAACAAAAGGGTTTTATTTTTATATTTTGGTTCATGAGAAGCAGTGGTTACAAGTACCTGGATATAGCTGACATTGAAGGACTCAGCAGCATGAGGCAGAAGAGAAGCAGATTGAGACTCTGAAACTGAGAGGGTCGATCCAGAGACCAAGAAGAGCATCCAAAGAATAACCTGTTTGATCATTTTTTCCCCTCAAAGTTGAAATTTTAACCTAAAGAATTTAGCAAGAGCAGAAAGAGTGTAGTTG